AAAAAGAAAAAAAAAGAAACAAGTGAGAAACTCAGAATTTCTTGGCTATGATACAGAAGTATCTTTGTTCTTTTACATGAGAAATAGTTGAGGCCATAGGTAGTAAATAAGTGGATCACACATTACCATTCTGGGCAGAAAGACAAAGGAATAAGTTGATTTCAGTGCCTTTTTTAAAGTAATTGATTTTGTTTAAAATAAAAACACAATAATCCCAAACAGTATTTTTCCCTTTATTACTTTTTTGGTATGAGGGATTGAACCCAGGGGTCTTAACCACTGAGCAACATCTGAAGCCCTTTTTATTTAGTTAATTATTTTTATGTTATTATTATTATTATTTGGTGGGGGTGCTGGGGATTGGACCCAGGAGTGCTTTTACCACTGAGCCACAACCCCAGTCCTTATTTTTTATTTATTTTTTAATACTTACATCTCATTTTCTTTCTTTCTTTTTTTTTTTTTAATATTTTCTTTTTCAGTTCTCGGCGGACACAACGTCTTTGTTGGTATGTGGTGCTGAGGATCGAACCCGGGCCGCACGCATGCTAGGCGAGCGCGCTACCGCAAAATATACATACAAAAATCAACGATGTTGTGTCCGCCAAAAACTGAAAAATAAATGTTAAAATTCTCTCTCTCCTCTCGCTCTCTTTAAAAAAAAAAAAGACAGTAATAAAAATGTGGGAAAAAAAGAATAACAAGAAGCTTGTTGCATCCATTAAAAATAAATAAATAAATACATACATACATAAATAAATATTGTGGTGCTGAGGATAGAACCCAGTGCCTTACCCATGCCAGGCAAGTGCTTTATCACTGAACTACAACCTTGCCCCTCATTTTTTTTCTTTTTTTTTTGTGGTGTTGTAGATTGAACCCAGGTCTTGTGTATGCTAAGCACTCTACCAACTAAGCTATATCCCCAGCCCCCTACTCCTCATTCTTGATTTTTAATCCTGTGTTTTTGGATCTACATTTTATTCTTCTGCCCCTTACTTTGCTGGTTTGCCTTTTTCTTTTTTTTTTTTTTTAAGAGAGAGGAGGGAGAAAGAGAGAGAGAGAGAGAGAGAGAGAGAGAGAGAGAGAGAGAATTTTTTTAATATTTATTTTTTAGTTCTCTGCGGACACAACATCTTTGTTTGTATGTGGTGCTGTGGATCGGATCTAACCCAGTGCCCCGCGCATGCCAGGCGAGCGCGCTACCACTTGAGCCACATCCCCAGCCCCTGGTTTGCCTTTTTCTACCTGATCCTCACACATTTGTGTTGTCGTGGTTTGTTTCATTTTCTTTCTTTCTTTTTTTTTTTTTTTTTTTTGGTATCAGGGATTGAAACCAGTGGCACTTATCAGTCAGCCACATCACCAACCCTTTTTTTTAAGTTTTAGGTGGACACAATATCTTTATTTTATCTTTATATGGTGTTGAAGATCGAACCCAGTGCCTCGCGCATGCCAGGCGAGTGTGCTAACACTTAAGCCACATCCCCAGCCCTCACCAACCCTTTTTTAATATTTTTATTTTTGAGACAGGGTCTTGCTAAGTTGCTTAGGGCCTCCCTAAATTGCTGAGACTAGCTTGAACTTGCAATCCTCCTGCTTCAGCTTCCCCAGCTGCTGGTATTACAGTTGTGCATTACCACACCTGGCATCTCTTGGTTTTCTTAGTAGGCAAGATTACCAGATGAATATTCCAGAAGCACTTCAAAAGTAACATTTTTTCCCTCCTTGTTTTATCTGTTTTGTCTAGTCCAACAGTGTAGAWTTTTTTTGTGATCAGAAATATAAGAACTGGCATTGGAATTGTGGCACAATAGTAGAGCACTTGCCTAGCATGTGAAAGGCACTGGGTTCAATTCTTAGCACCTCATATAAATAAATGAATAAAATAAAGGTTCACCAACATCTAAATATATGTAACATGTAACAAAAGAAAAAAAAAGAAGAAAAATGAGAATAGAGGTTGAGGCTGAGGCAGGAAGATCACAAGTTCAAAACTAGCTTCAGCATCTTAGGCTTAAGCAATTTAGCCAGACTGTGTCTCAAAAAAAATAAAATGGGGGCTGGGGCTGTAGCTCAGTGGCAAAGCGCTTGCCTAGCATGTGTGAGGCACTGGGTTCGATCCTCAGCACCACATAAAAATTAACAAATAAAATAAAAGCATTCTGTCCATCTACAACTACAAAATTAAAAAAATAAAATAAAATGGCCTGGGGATGTAGCTAAGTGTTAATTGCTCTTGGGTTCAATCCCTGGTACCAAAAATAAAAAGAGGGAGGGGGCCCCAGCAGTTCTACCCCAAAATATCTTTGAATACAATCAATACTTCAAGAAAAGAGACTGTTTATTTTGTTATTTCCCAGTCTGAAGGAACACACATATTTGCCCAGCCCCCATTCCTATCTCCTATCTCATTCTATAATTAATTTCTTTACTATCCTCTTTTTTTTTTTTTTTTCCTCCTTGTTGGAGTTAAACCCAGGGCTTCCCACATGTGCGGTAGACACTGTGCTACTGAGCTATTATATACCCCGAGTAGCCACTATCTTGGCTTTTTCCTTTCAAACAAACCACTTGCAGTTCCACAAAAGGATCATACCGTTTCATGCAAATGCGTGCAAATCCTTGCTTTCTACTTTACCCTAAGAATTTACTCACATTTCACAGTTGAGGGGAATTTCCCTACAGATTCAGGCAACCCAAATTTCTCCTTTCTCTACCATGTATGCACTTTACCAGTACTAACCAAGAATCATAACACTTTGTATTGTTTGCTCATTTGCCAAATAAAAAGGTCCTGAATCTTAATTATGTTTTCTACTCAAACCTAATATACATCTATTAAATGAMTCGTTACTTTAGTTTCTTTTATTGTATAGATTTTAGTGATAAAGATCCTGTCCAGGTTATTGATCTGCTGAGCCTCCTGGGAGCTTCCAATCACAGTATGTGAAAGAAAAAGCGTGTTTTGATTATAGAAAAAGCTCTCCACGTCGCCAGGTTCACCTGAAAGTGAAGCTTCCCGACGCATGATTTAGGTAATCTCACCCCTCTGGCTATCAATCAGCTCAAAGTCCTACCTAAGGAGAGATCTCAAGGACAGGCAAARACAGTTCACGTGCTTCGCCCACTTCCAACAGGAACTCGGCCCCTTTCCTAAACGTAGTTCCGCCAAGTACTCGCTCCAACTGACATTTCTGTGGTCCAATTAGGTTTCAAGGCTCGGAGGGCTGCAATTCCAATAATAGAAGCAGTTTCTGATTAGCACCAGTTTTGACCAATGGTTTAGAAGGTGAAAGCGTCTTACCCTATAGAAACAGAGTTTAAAATGATGAGCAGTAAATCTACCCAATGGATGAATCTGCAGCAGAATAGGCCTCGCCCCAACTGCAGGATTGCAGGCGGCGGGGACAGCTGCCGCATTCAGTCTCTACGCGTACTCCGCCATGTTGAGTCTTGTAGGTCGTGTGGCCGCTGCGTCGGCCTCCGGGGCCTTGCGGGGACTCAGCCCTTCGGCATCGCTACCCCAAGCCCAGCTTTTACTGCGGGCCGCCCCGGCAGCGGTCCAGCCTGGTAAGTGCTTTCCCCTAGGAACCGTGTTCAATTCTGCCTCCTTATGACCTTGAGCCGGAGACCTATCGTAGCTTGGGCCTAAGGAATCCTGTAGTGATAAAAGGATGGGAAGGGTTGAGTCCTGCTCTCTAACGGTGGGAAAACAGGAAATCATCCAGGAACCTTTCTTCAACTTAAGTACTGTCCTGTCTTGGAGAACGGGCTCTGTGTGATGGAAAAATGCGAGCAGGTGCGTTGACCTTTCCATGGCACGATGGTTCTACACTCAGGAATARTATGGTTTTGTGCATGAACATGGAAAGCTGTGCAGGCGCGTTCTCAATGGCTGCGCGGCCCAGTCCCTGGACACGCCTTCCGTGCAAGCGGAAGGAGGCCCAGCCTGGGTTGAATTCGCCTCTCTTTGTGGGTTGTTAATACTTTGGATGTACTGAGTCCCTCTTTTTATAATATATATTTTTTTCTAATAGCCAGAGACTATGCAGCACAAACATCTCCGTCGCCAAAGGCAGGCCCAGCCACCGGGCGTATCGTGGCAGTCATCGGTGCAGTAGTGGATGTCCAGTTTGATGAGGGATTACCACCTATCCTAAATGCCCTGGAAGTGCAGGGCAGGGAGACCCGGCTGGTTTTGGAAGTGGCCCAGCATTTAGGTAAGTAGAATGTTTAAGAATAGAGAAGACTGATTAATCCAGATACCGCTGAAATCAGGCTGTCTCCTTTCTGTGATGATTTTACCAAAATGACTTTCGTTCTTCTGAGTTTGCTGAAGCCAAATTCAGATACTGAGAAGGAGCCTTGATTGTCTTAGGTCTTTCATACCAGCTACACTGTGTTAAGTATTATGGTACTTACCCGTTGTATAACCTTGCAATACCTTTATCCGACAGGTGAGAGCACAGTAAGAACCATTGCAATGGATGGGACAGAAGGTTTGGTTAGAGGTCAGAAAGTCTTAGATTCTGGTGCRCCAATTAAAATTCCTGTTGGTCCAGAGACCTTGGGCAGAATCATGAATGTCATTGGAGAGCCTATTGATGAGAGAGGTCCTATCAAAACCAAACAGTAAGTTCCTCTTGCTGCATCTATTCACAAAAGAACTGCTTTTTCTTGGAGTTTTACACATTAAGGTGACATCTAATAAAGCAACATTTTCTTACAAAAGAATACTTAAGATGCTCATGTATTTAATGGTTAAAAATCACATGATGCTACCCAGTACCATGGTACAGGCCTGTAATCCCAGCAGTGAAGAAGACTGAGGAAGAAGGGTATCAAGTTCAAGGTCAGCCTCAGCAACTTAGTGAGACCCTGTCTCAAAATAAAAAGGACTGAGAATGTGGCTCAGTGATAAAGCTCTTCTGGGTTCAGTCTCCAGTACCAAAAAATAAACAACATGATGTAGTTTTTCCTGAAGAAATTAAGGATACATAGTTCTGATTGTTGAACTGATTCTTAGGATCTCACTTTTATTAAAAAGGCTTAATGTTTATGGCTTAGGTTGAGGATTTTTAAAAACTTGTATAGCTTTGTTTTCTTATTGATATGTGAAGGAATGTTATTAGGTAGGAGAAACTTTGATAGTTACAGTTGTCAGGGAATGGGATTATTTGTTCCTGAGATGAAGTCTCCTTTATTTCAGAAAGTGAAACTAGACTCTAGATGACAACTTAGCTATAATGTAGACTAGATCCTCTGGGAAAGATTGGACTTGAGAATTGATAGGAATATTTAAGACTTCAGTTGTTCTTAACAAAGTGAATATAGATGGTTCTCTTTTCTCTTAACAGGTTTGCTCCTATTCATGCTGAGGCTCCTGAGTTCATTGAGATGAGTGTTGAGCAGGAAATTCTGGTGACTGGTATCAAGGTTGTGGATCTGCTAGCTCCCTATGCCAAGGGTGGCAAAATTGGTATGTTAGTGGTGGGTACATATTATCAAACCTATATGGGATAGGGGGATATTATCAATACCAAACTGAGATGGTATTGATATCTTTCCCTCACTGATGAGTAGCTTCTGACTTTCGTTCTTCTGAGTTTGCTGAAGCCAGATGCCATTCCTGAGAAGGGAAAGGATGGAAAGAAGCAAATTGTTTTGAGGTTTGCTTAATTTGGGAATGTAGAACTCTTTTTAATTTTTTTTTTTTTTACACCTTTTCTAGGGCTCTTTGGTGGTGCTGGAGTTGGCAAGACAGTGCTGATCATGGAGTTAATTAACAATGTTGCCAAAGCCCATGGTGGTTACTCTGTATTTGCTGGTGTTGGTGAGAGGACCCGTGAAGGCAATGACTTATACCATGAAATGATTGAATCTGGTGTTATCAATTTGAAAGATGCTACCTCCAAGGTGAGCACTTGACTGAATTTCACACAGTAATTGTGTCAGAAAACTCTAGGTAGCTAAACCCTTGTTTTAGATGATACTGGAGATTGAACCCAGGTGTGCTTTACCATTGAACTACATTCCCAGCTGTTTTTTTTTTTTTTTTTAATTTTTTAAAAAAATTTTTTGGAAGTAGTTGGAAAAAACACCTTTTTCTATCTATCTATTTATATGTGGTGCTGAGGATTCAAACAGGGCCTCCTCTGTGCTAGACGAGCTATCACTGAGCCACCATGCCAGCCCTTCCCCAGCTGTTTTTAAAACTTTTATTTTGAGCCAGGTGCAGTGGCTCATACCTGTAATCCTAGTGACTTGGGAGGTAGAGGCAGAAGGATAACAAACTCAAGGCAAGCCTCAGCAATTTTGAAAAGCCCTGAGCAACTTAGTGAGACCGTTTCTCAAAATAAAAATTTTAAAAAGGGGCTGGGGATGTAATTTAGGTGTAAAAGCACCCCTGGGCTCAATCCCCACTACCAAAATAAACTAATAAAATTTTGAGGGTGCTGGGGTTGTAGCTCAGTGTAGAGCCKTTGCCTAGCACATGTGAAGCATTGGGTTCTATCCTCAGCACTACATAAAAATTAATAAAGGTATTGTGTCCATCTGCAACTAAAATTTAAAAAAAGAAACAGTGGTTCTGGAAGCTCAAGCAGGAGGATTGTGAGTTCAAAGTCAACCTCAGCAACTTAGGGAGTCCCTGAACAACTTACCTGGGTTCAGTCCCAGGTACCCAAGCGAATGAATAAATAAATATTTTAATTTGAGACAGGCTATCACTAACTTTGCTGAGTCTAGCCTCAAACTTGCAATCCTTCTTCCTCAGCTTCCTAAATTACTTGGATTTCCRGCAAAACCACCACTGCACCCAGCTAGATTTGTCTCCAAAGTATTTTCTTCCTRCTTTGAGAATTTTTGCCTTTTTAATACAAGAAAATATTTTACTGTTTTGAACTGAATGTCTAATAGGAAAAAGAAATTTGCAAACAAAAGTGTTTGACACCTGAGAAGGAGAATCTTTGGTTTCCTCTCTAATTGGGAAATCTTGGGTATGTAACTTCCATACTCCTCTCACATTTTCTGACTGCATAATTACTGCAGGTAGCGCTGGTGTATGGTCAAATGAATGAACCACCTGGTGCTCGTGCCCGGGTAGCTCTGACTGGACTGACTGTAGCTGAATACTTCCGAGACCAGGAAGGTCAAGATGTACTGCTGTTTATTGATAACATCTTTCGCTTCACCCAAGCTGGTTCAGAGGTGAGAGAGCATCCTTGAGAGGAGATTCATTGAGCTTTTTTGTGGGATTGTATAGACAGCCTAAAGATTTATACACCTGAGACCACACTTTTTTTTTCTTAGGTATCTGCCTTATTGGGCAGAATCCCTTCTGCTGTAGGGTATCAGCCCACCCTGGCCACTGACATGGGTACTATGCAGGAAAGAATCACCACTACCAAGAAGGGATCTATCACCTCTGTACAGGTAAGAAAAAGTAAGTGGATGAAGGTTTAATTTGTATAAAGGTTTGTAGAGAGGTATGAAACTTTATTACATCAAAAAGGGCTTTTAAGTTGGGGGCTGGGTTTATGAGCTAGGATAATGTGTAAAATTCTTTTTTGCATTTTGAAGATCCTGAAAGGTTAAGAGACAGACATCTAAAGTAATTGARGGTATACATGAAACATTGATTACAAAATATTGGTTTCTAGCCTAAGGGAATTCTCAAACTACATGGAAATTTACTAGTAAATATTTACTCAGTTATTGAACTACAAATTTTAAACATATATAGGTGGTAAATATGGTGAAATTATATAAAACATGGGGCTAAATTATAATAAATTCCATTTTATATATATATATATATATATATATATATATATAAAATTTTTTTTTCTCCTTTTGGTGCTGGGGATTAAATTCAGTACCTTCTAACAGTGAGCTATCTCAACCCTCTTGAATAATTTTTTTCCCACCTTAGAACTGGGGATTGAACCCAAGGTCACTAAATCACTGAGCCACCTTCTGAGACAGGGTCTCACTAAGTTGCCTACTGCCTTGCTAAATTGCTGGGGCTGGCTTTGAACTGATAATCCTGCCTTTTCCCTCACCCACCTAGTTACTGGGATTAGTCATGTGCCACCACACTTGGCTACATCATGAATCATTTTAAACACTATTGCAGTGGTACAGAAGTATATTTTATTGTTTTTAATTTGTAAAAGTTGGTATTATTACAATAGAGTTAAAATGTAGGATTAAATGCAAAAATGACAATGAAAATTCTTACACCCTGACTTAGAAGGACCAGATAATCTATAAACTCACCTGGCAGGTATTAGGATTGAAACTCTTGAGGTAGATATTTAAAGCTATAAAGATGAAGTGAGGTGATAAAGAGAGGTCCATAAAAGGAATGGTTTAAATGGAATTAATTTTGTTCTTGCTGCTCTATATGGGTTTTTTACTCAATTTAGGCTATCTATGTGCCTGCTGATGACCTGACTGACCCTGCCCCTGCCACTACCTTTGCCCATTTGGATGCTACCACTGTGCTGTCCCGTGCGATTGCTGAGCTGGGCATCTATCCAGCTGTGGATCCTCTAGACTCCACTTCTCGAATCATGGATCCCAATATTGTTGGCAGTGAACATTATGATGTTGCCCGTGGAGTGCAAAAGATCCTGCAGGTGATTATATTGTCATCAGTGACCCTAAAGTGATGGAAGGAATTTGAAAAGTATATTAGGACTAGATCTTTCCTAGTGTGATTTCCTTGGGAGTAAGGAAAGTTGATAGGGTTAATGAGATTTCTTGGGTTTCTAGGTGCTTAACTTTGGAATCCCTTGTTTTAAAAAAAATAGTACTCAAGGGCTGGGGATGTGGCTCAAGCGGTAGCGCGCT